AAGTACATCCCTTCAAACAGGTTTTCAAAAGCCACCCCCTGATTGATGCCATTCTTGTAGAAGATCATCTGTATGGGAAAGACAAGGGAATCAGGTAGGGCAGTGTGTGGGAGGAAGCAAGAACATGGACTCTCTGGTGGTCCACGAGGAACGGGTTGGGAAACACTGAGGTAGGAGAAACGCACCAGAAAGCTCAGCAGAACCAACCTGCACTGGTACTCATACATCAGAGTGTTACAGAACCTCTGTGTGTGGACCTGCCGGCCTATCAGGGGCCATTGATTCATTATTCATCAGCACTAAGAATGACATTTTAAATTCCTTAAATGATTGAACACAGTCATTTAAGTGAGCCACTTTGGATCCCTAAATTTCTCATATACTTGAGTGGTTGAAAAAAATAAATCTCCAAACAGGACATATTTGCATGTTATTTTGACTACAGCAGAGCACTTCATTCCAAGGGCACGTTATCCTGCGCTGCCCTTGGGCGACAGATAAAGGGTCAACAGCCAATTAAGGTGTAAAAACATTTAAGCGTGTTGTGACTCATGTCACCGTTTTCTCCTCCAACATTCCTGGCAGGAGGGCAGGGTAGGAAAAGCATTCACCTTGCTTGGGGTCACTGGTTTCAAGCTCTTCTCTGCTTTATCCAGGTAGTCCTTCTCCTCAAAATACAGGTAGCTTTTGAACTTGATCAATGCCTGTGAAGACACCCAAATATAACAATGCAATGATGGGATAACTTTATATAATTTCTGACCCATTTCTCATTATGCAAGGACACATAAAACCAAACACAAATACCAAAACTCCATTTGCCACATAAGCATGAAGCTCAAATTAAGACTTGCTAAGTATCGGGGCCTGGGCAATAGGCCCTAAAAATATAATATTTTCACAGTATCGATATTTATCATGAGATTATAAAATTCATATGCAGAAAACAGTAAAATGTGATTATGATGGCCAAACTGGTTTTGCTAACAGAGCATGTGACAGGTATAATGAAAAATTACGCCAACAACAGGTTGGAATTCATGTAAAAATAGTGCATAACAACGGCAAATTATGCAAGAAAACGTATTTAGGCTATATTACGATACTCATGATATTTGAACTGATGATGATATGAATGTTCATAATCAGGATACGATATTTTGCTGATCTCGCCCAGCCCTATAAGCATCTTTAACAGATCTTTTGGTCTCTTCACAACTTGGCGATCATTAACCCCCAGTTAACATGTCATTCTTTTGCAGTCCTTTCAACTCGATACTTGTTTCTCTATGGGGTCTGAGGAGTCCAAGCTGAAAAATAGCTCCGCAAACTGCAACCTCCAAAACACATTAGAGGAGTTACACATCGCTGTGCAAGACCGAGAATGGGAGGGTGAAAGAAACATCATGAAGTGCCCAGTGAATCCAGGAAAAACTGCAGTACCTTGTCCTTATAGGTGTCCGGCAAGGCCTTGGCGGTCTCAGTGCTGTCCGGCAGCTCGATGTAGAAGCCCAGAATGTCTCCCTGGCCATAGCTGTTTGAGTAGTGCTTCCCGATGGACTGGTGGAAGCGGGTGCCTTTCTTGCTCCGCCATGAGTAGCTGAACTTATCATAGCCCAACGGGGCTTGAAGGTTGCCTGGGATGGGAGTCGCAGGGGACGGAATTATTTTAAAACTAGTCAATCATATTCAGTGTGATTCGAAAGAAAAGTAGGAAAAACAGCACGTGGGTGATTCTCACGAAACCATCGACCTCATTTCCGAAACTGCAAAGGTGTCCATTTAATGTTAATTTAATAAATCAAAAAAATAGTAGTTTGCTTTTAAACGCATGTGCAGAATCTGTATGTTGTGTTCCTTAAGGTTTGCCACATTATTTCAATAATATATCAAGTTTCAGTGAAATACGAAAAATATTAGGTTGTAGATTCCAGAAGGTGCTGCAGTAATGACAGAAATCAGTCAAAATCAAATAAAAATGTTTAAATGAAAATATTATATAGTTTCAAGTAACTGAGCATGACTTTAGGAGCATGACAATAAGCAATTTAAAAATGTGGAAATGTACTGGCTTTCTGGTCTTGATGTTTTCAGACTGTTGCGGTAATGAGATTTTAAAAGACTTGTTTTGGGAAATGTTAAGTTAAATTTTCTGTAAATGATTTTAAATTCACCCTTACAAACACTTCAGAACTGATTATTAATGGCTAAAAAAGAAATTTGTTGATGCAAGTCTTTTTAAATACTTCATGTTTGACATCTTTGACATCAAGATTTCGTGAGAATCACTCATTTAGAAACAACATGGCTGAGAGAACTCACCCAAGGGCTGGGACCAGCCAAGGCGAGCAGCTGTGTCAGGGGGCATGTCATCGATGGACGCCTCGAAATACCAGGAGCCCTTCCTGATGCCGTGGGACGCGCGCACCATGGAGTAGCCCTTCTCCCCCGTCACCGTCAGACGGTCGTCGGAAATCTTCAGCTGCGGGGCTAAACGGCATGATGGACCAGATGGGCGGATTAGGGAAAGAGCGCCAGACACTGAGGGTGCTGATCATGAGCTCACCCGGAGCTGGGGGTTAAGGGCCTTGCTCAAGGACCCGCAGACGTCCCGAGGCCGGGTTCGAACTGGCGACCTTCTGATCACAGGTACACAGGCTTATTGTGCTTTGGATAAATGCATCAAATAAATATAAGATTTATCAAATATTTTGGATAAAGCGGGAAAAGATGACACCCATTGTTAAGCAGGAAACTGCAGGAATACCAGCCAAATCATGGTTTCTCAATCTTTACAGGGCGCAGCTGTTCATAACGTCCCCCACACTACATTTCACCAACCTGGTGAAGGTTCTCCCTCTCTAAATTTCAGTGACTGAGAGGGGGGTACCCTTCACTAAATTTGGCCGTGATCAGGTTCGAATCTGTGTGCTACTGAACGTCATGTTTCATTCCCATGGTTCCGAGGCTCAACTGTAGAGTATGGAAGGGCTGCACTCATACAGGCAGGGAGCTCACCTCGGTCGTGCAGTGTGAGCAGCACGCGCTCATACAGGCAGGGAGCTCACCTCGGTCGTGCAGTGTGAGCTGCACGCGCTCGTACAGGCAGGGAGCTCACCTCGGTCGTGCAGTGTGAGCAGCACGCGCTCGTACAGGCAGGCCCGGTACAGATCCCCAGGGATGGGCTTCCCCGCCCAACAGTCCAGCTCCAGCTTCTCGGGGTCGGGCGCGTGGGGGTCTGGCTCTGCCAGGATGTAGCGGTAGCCGTCCTTGTTGAAGGGGTGCTCTAGGGGGTATCCATGGGGAGGCAGGCGCTGAGCTGAAAAGAGGGGGTCGCTATGGGGGGAGGATTTGCAACAAGAAACATCTGTTGGCAGTAGTGGTGTAACAGACGGTAGTTGATCTGTGATCCATATGGATCCCCCCACCCCCACCACAGTTCGACAGGCATGTGAACCACAGATTACTTGCAAAGTTTAACCGTCATAGAGTGAATTTTGTGATCAAGAATATAACTTTAATCTCGAGAAAATAGCTTTGGCTATGCTGAGATCACGGGGAAAAAAAGGAGTGATCTCGACATAAGAAAAACAGAAGTTAAAGATGGATGTGCTCTGTGGACTTCCAGATGCAGAGCTGCAGTGAAACGATACAGACAAAGCAGCTGTGTTCACGTTAACAGGGCAGGTTAAAATTTCCTTGCTTTAATTGTGCTTTAAGTTCATTAAGTAATTAATGGAAAGAAAAGTTGCGTTTGTTTAAAAAAAAATAAAAATAAATCAGTTTGCATTTTTTGCTCACTCTGCTCACAAGATGAGAGCAGAGGCTTAACGGCCTTAATGAAAACCACAAGCCGAAGCAGCCGGGCCTGGGTTTGGTGCTACTGCAACACAACAGAATAGGTCTTTAATGAAGAAATGATGAGTGGGGTGCTGCGTGAATCAGGGTGGATATGAATACACATCACGCCAGCGAGCTTCCTAGAGAAATTCTGGTATAATATAATGAAGTTATGCGTAGTTGAATTACACAGCTTAAATATGATGGCTTCTGGTTTGTGTTAAGAGTGACACAGGAGTGGAGTGTGTGTGTGTGTAGGAGGGAGGCTTGCCCACCTGCGAGTTCGCTTGGCAGTGCCAGTCGTGCCACCCTCCTGCTGCTTGCGCTTTGCTCCTCGCCCTTTCCCAGTGCCTCCAGGTGCCAGTCCACCTTCCGTACAAACAGTGTTACTATACAGCGCCGCCCTACAGGTTGCCCAGCACACAATGGCACACACACAGCACTCAGCCACATGGGGAACAAAGCCAGGTGCAGGTGTCTTCACACACACACACCCCCACCCACACTGTTTCCTACCCCAACTGCTGGCCGACCCCGTAAGCTCTTGATGGGGAGAAAGAAAAAAAAATAGAATACATACAAAAAAAAGAAACTTAAAATTGTTAATTAAAAAAAGTTTTGCTACAAACTAAAACTAAGTCATCAGTAAAAGCATTGTGACAAAGAATGCATAACTTGTATTCATACATGAATATATAAAATATTTGTATAAGATTGCAATTCATACTGATCTTTTGTGCCATAAGTGATACTAGGATCCAAAACAATAAGCACCTAAACAGAAGCACAGCTCTTTAGCAAAATGCTGAAGCGTCTCTGTGCATTGTAACAGTCCTTGAGGGACACTAATGAAAGCACACAGGCCTCATGGCTGTCACAATCATTTTCACTGTTAATGCACATACAGAGTCAGCATACATCCAAGAGCAGCATCTCAAGAGCTGTCAGCGTTTAAAATTAGCAGGGCTGTATGGTGGCAAATTTCACGGCAATATTTTTTTTAGAAAAGAAAGTGAAAGTAAAAACTTCAAAGCTATAACTCTCAGAGTGCTTGCCAAGTAGAATTATTTTCCGCTTCCAATATTAAATAGTATCAACGAATATGACAAATATTTGCTGGGAGCCAGCCTTCCAACCCCCCCCTCAAAAACAACCCCAAAGAGCAAAACGCGAGCACTGCTCCCAGCAAATCAGAGGGCAGAACGCCTTAAACCAGTATCATCGTGACCACAGGAAGCCCCACAGGAAGCATGGCGAAGGCCTGGACCACAAGCTGGCGCGATGCGTGGAGATGCGCACTGAGCGCGAGCATAAGGAGGGAGGAGCAGCAGTTTAAAACAAAGCCAAAGAATTAACAAATGCAAACGGGGCTTGGGGGGGGGGGAGCGGGATGCAGGCCTAGGAAAAAGCAAGCAGTGGCACGGTGTCGATTCATCGACCCGTTAAACAGCCAAAGCATTACACCAAGGGGCTAAGGTCTCATAGTCACCTGTGAACGCTGATCCACCTGTAACACAACGCACAGTCGTTTAGTGTCACCCTCCACCCCCGCGACTTCAGCCACAGGTATCCTTACTTACTATTTAAAGAGACGCGCTAAGCGCTGAAGTCAATGTAACACTAAAAATTCCTGATAGTTTTAAGCTAAGACTAAGTGTTATACAGAGTTGGTAATCCAGGTCGAGAGAGTAAAAGTCCAGACCGGGATTTTGTTTCAACCAACCAGTTGAATACTCAGACTCTTTATGCTCAACTGGTTGGTTGAAACAAAATCCCAGTCTGGACTTTTACTCTCTTGACCTGGATTACCAACTCTGGTGTTATAACAGGAGCTACTATCCAGATACTCGATGCAGAACAGCTACAAAATTATGCAGGCTATCGTGTTCTTCATCACAGTGCTGCCCTTTCACTCATTCCGATAGCTAAAACAATGGCAAAACTACAGCTATAGTACCTTATTTAGTCCTCTGACGACTTCTAGCCTACTAACCCAGAGAATCGTTTCTTCATTGGCAACAAAACCCTATGCACCTTGACACAAGAATGCGCTACTCCAACTGCAGGTTTTGCATCCGCAGAAGCGGGCAGCGTTCTTACCATTAAGTCCAGTCCCAGTGGAGACGGATGTAGGCTGTTTCTGGCTATCATAAGAAGGGCCGATGTTCGCCAGGTCCTGGACAGAACAGAGCACACACAGTATTACCAGCACTACACTAAACAAACACTAAGCACATTATTAATACATGCTTACATGCCTAAATTCTAGCCTAAACATACTTTTTTTCAATCAGGTTTTAGAGAAGGCCATCTGCAACAGCCTACGTGACCTTGCATTCCACCACTAGCTGCTGCTCTAAACCTTCCTAGCAAAGGCTGTTAACTGCAGGCTGGCGCTATAATAATAATCTATTAGATATTCAACATCAACAAGCAGCACCCCAGCAGCTATTGGGAGTACCTGGTCCAGTAGTCCGAATTTGGGGTAGTCCTCTTCTGGATCTTTGCTTCCTGGATCTGGGTGCTCTTTGACCAGAAAGACATCTCGCTCTTTGCTCTAAGAAGAGAAAGAAAAAAACATAATAAAATGACAAAATCAGAATCCACCTTGAATGAAACAGTACAACCTCTGGAATATTTAATTTTATCCACTAACATTTCTAATAAGAAAATACACCCTGAATTACTCGACAAAATATAAGTGTGTGATCAAAATCAGGGGTTTTTCAAAAGAGAACAGACACAAAGGGTCTCAAAGACAATGTGCATTGGTATATATGCACATTTACCGTCCCTCTGTACAAAGTTGTGCTTTTATTCCTCAGACATGAACAATATATTGCCTGATTTTGCCTGCAGCTTTTTGTCTCCTGACCAACCAATCAGCCAAACTCCCAACGGTCACATGATCTCACCATGGCCTTCACGATATTGTTCGGCCACGTCAGCTTGCCAGGCCTCTGCCGGGTGGTCATGCACTCCCAGTGCTTATCGATAAACGGAATGATGTCCTGCGCAAAAGGGCAGCAAAGCGTTAACGGTTTTGGGGCGAGTCTCCTCAGCTCCTGGTGCTGTGCCCGATACCAACCTTATCCTTGGAGAACATGGTCTTTGGGTGTTCATCTTGAGTCCTTGACCGCCATGTCAAGTTGGCCAAGGCAGTGAGGCACATCTCCCGAAGATCTATGGGGTCAAACCAAATGGAAGCTCTTGTGGTCCAGGGGACTCAAGGTAACAGTGTGATATAATACCCGGCCATACAACCCCCACAGGCCTCCAAGCAGTCATGCATCCAGAGCATCCCCCCGGCTCAGGTAACTTCATACTTACTGGCCTGCTTCCGCAGGAAGTACGTGTTGCCACTATGGTGACACACATTGCAATGAAAGACATAGTTGGTCATGAAAGGGAGGGAGGTCCTGCAGCAGAGAAAAGGAAAATATTACCAAAACATGCATGGAAGGTAGTGGAACAGTCCGGAAGTGATCTGTTGATTGCTATTTCAGCTTCCAGGAGCCCTCTGGTAGTATAACTGACTAAGGGAATTAATCCTAAATTAATATTTTATTGAAATTAAGTTTTAAAAATCACTACATATAAGTAATAACTAAGAAAAACGATTTAAAAGGAAGATTACATGCACAGACAGGTCACTGAGCAATAGGTACAGGCTACTCACGCCGTGTCTATGCCGAAGGTGTCCGCCGTGAACCACTTCATGCAGAGGGCACACTGCAGCTCCACCTCGCCCAGCTGACGGCCGTTTTCCTCGTCCCCGGAGCCCGTCTGCGTGTCGGCCGCCTCCGATCCCTCTCCCGTGGGATCCTGACAAAGGAGGAAGGGAGCCTCTGTAATTACATTTAACACTGCGGGCACAGAATCGCACACGACCTCATCATAGGTGTTAGACAAGTGACAGGCAGTCCATGGACGTGTTACGTGCTACGAACATTGCAAGCTAGCAAACCATAAGTACCTCAACACGTATTATTTGCGATAATCATTCATTCACATATTCATCTCTTATTTCCATTTACCATCGTTTCTTTCCCATTCGTCGATTCAGTTTCCATATTCGTTGCCAGATCTCCAAACGGAGCGTCCCTGTAACAAAATACACCGGTAGAAGATGCCGAAACTGTACCTGATCGCTGTACCTGCTATCATACAAATTATGCGTTTGAAACACATTTATCGGTTTTCCAAAGCCAGAAAAATGACAAAGGTTGGCCAGGTCGTTTGGTGTCGGCGGGGACCGATGTCTCGTCAATTCATCAAGAAAGTAACCAGTAATAATATATTTCAACGGAGGGAACATTATACTTGAAAAATAGTAATGAAAAAACACTAGCATTCAGTTGTAAAAGTAAACCATACTGTTGCAACCCAGAAGCTTCCCTTAATACAGGAACTTGAAGACGTTATTCATTGAAGCTTAGTGCAGTTACAACTAAGCTTCATAATTAGTGCAGTTGTTACTTTAAGGATCGACCAAACGCTTATGTTAAAAAAAAAATATATACATATATATATATATATATATATATATGAATACAACTTCAACACATTATTTGCAGTCACACAGCCTACCCTTCCCCGGACGCCGCCTCTAAGGCTGCACCACTCGCTTCTCCTTCGGTCGCCATTTTTCAAAAACTATCGCTCTAAATAAAATCTCGTGAAACGCAAATCTCGCGAGATGGTGCTTACAAGCCAGCGGTGGCTGGCTGGGAAATTGAGTAAAATAGAACGCGATGGAATGGAGCTGCTGCCGAAGAATCACGAATCGTTAAGAGACAAGCATTGCTTTAGGCGGCCCAGTACTCACCAGTGCAGAGTACTGGGAATGTTTATTGCATACTGGCACCTCACATAATTTGTCGGTACTGAATAACAAGTGGAGTACTGGCACCGTTTTTTCAACGTAAAGCGCTGGCGACGACTGCTTTATATTATAGGCCAATATGTATTACCCAACAAAAATTGAAGTTGATCAAATGTGTAATATTTCTGGATTGTAGAACATTTTCCCCCCAACTGTGAATACCTAGAAAGGGTGACTGGTCCAGCTGGCAAGATTGCTACCTCAAGTGGGATATCACCACCATCAATAAGAAGGCCCAACACTGCCTATAGCCTACTTCTTGCGTCAGCTAAAGAAATTTACAGCTACGTGTATTACAATATTATGCCTTATGATAACTTCATATTTATGGTCTTCTTTATTGAAATCTGTCTATGCAAAACCAATACGTGGCATGGCTATGCACGAAGAATATGATCTGTTGAATGTATAATAAGCCGAATGCCAAAAACCTGAACTTCTGAGATCTTTATGAAGGTAAAGAATTATGGAGAAGTTTAGACCAGTAATGCAAAGTCAAGCAACGCGAAGAATTACACTGCACACGGTCAGGCAAAATTCTCCAAAGGTTTTACCAAGGATTTTATTTTTGCTTGATTTCTTTGTCAGAACCATGCAATTCATTACATTACAATTCATGGTGATGCTTTTTAAATAGCTACATAGTTTTTCCCTCATTAACTTCAAACCAGTAATTATTGTTTTTGTCTTATGCTAGTTAAATAGAGGTGCACATCTCAGTTCAAAAGGTCTCTTGTTGATCCTTATCGGTTCCTTCATGAGTTCCTGGTATAAACCCAACAAAGCACAGATGATGACCCATTTAGTCAGTCATTTTCTTCCATGTTTGTTTGACAATTCGCCCCTGCATATATATGTATTGATGTTTGATTCACCTGAATCTTTTTTGCTTGCTTCTCTTTCAGCACTGTCCTGGGGTACTTTAATAAAAATCTCCTTAAACTGGGGAACCATTAACCTCCCAGGAGATCTGAGGCCTATATTTACATTCAAGACCCTCATAATGTGATAAAACAAGAGCTGTAAACATCACCAGCAGCGCCACGGATAGGAATGCTATTCAGCTCACTGTTGACTATCCCCCCGTTTTTTTTCAGGTAGTCTGAAAGAAAACGTGGCTTAAACTATTTTATTGAGCGTTGTTAAGTTCTGTCCGCCGATAGCCAGCCAAAGGAATTGCCCCTGAGTGGAATTTCAACAGTGCCTTGGAGTGCTGTTCAGAGACAGGCATTGTCTACTCTCTGTTGTGTCATAGCCCATCTGCAAAGAGAAGAGGAGATGTCTGACACAAATACAAACCCCCTCCCTATTCTTTTACAAACAGTTTAGAACTGGTGTTCAGCCCCCTAACCACTTTACTGTGACAAATTGTAGCCCTGAAAGTAGAGAAAACACTCATATATTTCACTTTTTTTTTTTTGACAAGAGCTTAACGTTGGTCAAAGCGATTGGCTGGCACATAACTATTATTCTTGGCTCAATTTTCACATTCGGACCTACTTAAAATGCTTAGGGAACATCAACGTCATGTGACACTTCGATAAATGCTTATTTAATGCAGTCACAGTAGAGAGTCTATCCGTAGAAAGGATGCCAGTCCACCACAGTTCTGCTTTTCCAGCATTTCCAGTCTTTTACACTTACTATACTGGCTAGACACGGAACTCTTTATACATGATTTTGAAAAATTCGCTTATTTTAGTTGGGCATGGAGGTTCCTTGAGGTTATCCATTATATCCAGCACCATACAGTTACCACGATCTGGCAGGTCAGATGAGTTTGTAGTGATAATGCGTGTGCATGGAATCGCCACCCTGCCCGACGTTTGCTCGGTCTGTACCTCGAACAGGATGAATGTGGTTTTGAAATAAACGTTTAAATAAACATTTATTACCTAGTTACACAGCCAGCATTTGCATACTGAGCTGAGGGAAGTGTGCTTCTTAGAACTAATGATGGTGCCTCAGTCACTGGATGTCTAAGTGCACTTTTAAGACCTATTACCCCCCAACCCAAATTAATTTATTTCCCCCAGTAGGGAGCAGGCTGCAATATACCCACTATATACCTCACTGGGGGGGCAGTAAACCACGAGTCTGCAGGCACACTTCAGCCAGTTGGACCCTCACTGGCAAAGTCACCTCACTCCTGTGACACCCCCCTTCAACAGATCCACAGGTCAGGAGGGGTCAGTGTCACCCACAGCATCTGCTAATTGTCCTGGAGGGCGGGCTTCACCTTTCCCCCCCAGCCAAAGAATAATGGCCGTGTGGCTGTCTTGGGGAGTCCTGTCAGTTGACATATTCGCCATCAGTCTGCCAGCGAATGCTGCTTGGGTATTGAATCCTAGTTAATTAAACGCAGAACAACAGCATGCATTGTGGCGTATAGATCAATGAGCATCTGAACATTGGTTAACTCATGAAAATGCTTTTTATTGTGTCCCGAGGAATGTCTGTAGAACTATTACAACTGATGACAATGCAACCACACGAAATTAAGGTTCCTTTTTCATAGTTGGAAAAGATAAAAAATAGCGGATTCAATGTACAATTTTGCACAACTTCCCATTGTTTCCTTATCTTCCTGAGACTCATATTTGAAAAATAAAGAAAAGGCAAATAATGAAACAGAAGTTGGTGAAAGTAATTTTCAGGTTAAGGAATATCACCGTAACTTTGGTATTCCTTCCAAGCTAATGGTGTGCATAGTCTAAACATAGGCTTCAATAAGAACAAGTTCATATAATTAAAGTGTTCATGGGGGTTATAGGAATACAACATGAAAAGTTAAAATGCACCAGATGCCCTACTTTAATATCCTGCTTTAACTGTCCTTAGGGGTTATTGCACCCATATCCTGAATAGATGTGGAGGTCAAAAGATGCGTAATTTTCTCGTTACAACTAAATCGGCCATTCAATTACGTCAAACACTTGTGTGATGTTTAGCTAAAGCTAAATCAATAAAAATCCCCTTTGAAATAGCAGCACTTTCTCTTCTAGGGAATGTCAATTGTAACGAGTCGATGAATTTACATGAAAAACAGCATTCACGTGTCCTACCGGCGTAAAATCACAGAATTGCAAATAATGACACAGCTCTCAACAAAAAAGTACACGATTCTAAAGAAAAAGGGCACATTTTAACCAGATGCCCCGCAATAAATAACCGAGCGTTTACATCACCAATTGTCCCCTGACATTAGCATTTTAAAGTGGCGGGGGCTGATCCTCCAAACTTGAAGCGCATAATCTACCCCAGGTTTTGCATCTTCGGAATGGATTACCTGACATGGGGTAAGCGTTTGAAATGCCTGTTTTGTGTGTAATCACCACGGTTCATATGTCGTCGAAGAGCTTTTAAAATGCTAATTTTGTAAGTGTGAGCGTCGTGTGCTGGCTGCGTATAAATTGAGCCATGCGAGGCCGGCGAGCCACTGCCGTGTCGAGGTGCGTCAAAAGCTGCGCTCCTGTCTTATTCGTTTTGTTCCTTTAAATTCAGTTTTTTACAGTATTTAACAGATAAAAGCAGTAATGCAACCAGAAAAAATGCCAGAAGTTATAAAAACGTCTTTTTCCATAGTAGATATTCTGGATCCTACTAAGTTTAACGGAAGTCGTACGGTTCCTCGGGGAGGTGTCACGGTGCAGAAAAATAATGGTAAGTGGCGCGTTAATTAAAGTATTCATCAGGCACGCACTCTGATAAATTGTATGTTTAAAATATAATGGAATTAGAAGGGGAAAAAATTAACAGTCAGCAAAGTAAACTGTAAAAGTTATGTTCGTAACAAGTGAGTGTTCATTTTTTTTCCTCAAAATTATTTTCCAGAATATTTTGACCACCAGAGGACGACATTTGGTTAAATTTTCTAATCATGGTGAAATTATTTTATTTATAACCTCTGTCAATCCCCCCAATAATATACTTTAGTTTATAGACTTGTGTGTTTTTGGTGTGTTTTTAAGCCTGTTATTGTGGTAAAACATGGATTTCAATAATCGGCATGATTTGAGGGGAAAGGGAGAAATCTGCAACCGAAAGAAAATGTAAATAATTCTAAATGTATTATTTTTTTTAGGCAAACAAGCAGAGGCCGTAGGGATTCCTGACTGTAGCATCGTGGAGGGGCAGAGTCCTCCTGAATCCACCGCAGATCAGCTTCGCGTTACTGAGGAGCCGAGGTGCAAGACGAGGCGCATCCGGACAGCCTTCTCGCTGGAGCAGCTGCGTGTGCTGGAGCATAGCTTCCGGGCCAGCCATTACCTGTCCGTCTTTGAGCGCTACGGCATCGCCACCGCGCTCCAGCTGTCCGAGACGCAGGTGAAGATCTGGTTCCAGAATCGGCGCACCAAGTGGAAAAAGGAAAATAAGGACAATGTGGCCGATGACCAAGAGAGAGCCGTATCCTACTATGGCCTACCGCACACGGACCCCGCGAGTTCACATGGCCCGCCCACGCCTTATTACCACACGGTCCCCATGTGCTCGCAGCCGGCTCTGATGCCTTCGACTCATCACCATCATCATCTTCGTCATGTATTTTAAAATGATTGAGACTTGCTGTGTTGCATTCCTGGTTCACTATTACCTAAATCAGAAAGCAGGAGATTTGAATGCGTCCATTGCAAAATGTTAGAAGCGAAAACGTGTAAGTAAATTATTTTAAGGTGCTAAACTGTTAAACTAATCATGTTTTTCCCCTTTGGGTAAATTCTTGAGATTTTGTATAAAATGTTAATATAAATATATGACTAATAATTGTGTTATTTAAAACGGTTTATTTCTAGGCCTACCTCTGATACTTGACTATTTCCTTGAATATGTTATATAACTTTTAATTTGTGGATTTTGCAAAAAAAAAAAAAAATGAATACAAAGCATTCTGCGAACGACTTCTCAAAAAAGTAATACTTTAAAAAGATATTTTTGTATTGAGCTCTTGTGTGTGTGTGTGTGTGTGTGTGTGTTTTTGATTAACTGAAATTATTTTATTAAATAAATGTCCCAAAAATATAGATCCGCAGTTCCCTTTCATGTTGTAACTGCTTTTTCCTTCTCAAAGATATTCTGAGCCACAAACATGAGGTAAGACTGGCTGCCTGCCCATTATGAGATTCAATAAGGGCAATTCAGATATGTCAGGTACCCAAAACTATATGCATTTGAACTGTGGGTGAAAACCAGGGAATCTGCAGTCTGCAAAAAATCACAGTATCAGAATAAAAGCCACAACCTTATAGATATGAGGTCACGGTGCTACCTACTGCGTCTCTGTGCCATCCACAGCATCACCTTTATAGCTAGTTAAGCTACCCACTGCGTCTCTGTGCCATCCACAGCATCACCTTTACAGCTAGTTAAGCTACCCACTGCGTCTCTGTGCCATCCACAGCATCACCTTTATAGCTAGTTAAGCTGCTTTATTTTATTTGGGGATATAATTTAGGAAATTAGCAAATTCTGTTAAAAGTTGCTTAACTGTAGTATAGATCCATTCATCCAATTTCCTATATTTTATATTTACAGTACATGGTAAACAAGTGATATTGCTGTGGAGCTCTGGTATCCTGTGATTGCCATCCCATATTTGCTATATCTCCAGATTTCATCGTAACTATGACTGGTGGGGTGTCTGTTGTGTATTAAATGGAAGGGTGGACATCTGTCGTAACAGAAGTGCTTTGCGTGTAGCAAAGACACGGGGCTGATGTGTATAGAGTATCCCTGCATATCCAGCTTGATCACAATGAGTGGAGATGAGGGAGATGTGCAGCCAGGCCATAGCGCTCCCAGTATGCAGGAGCTGGGAGCACAGTGGGCCTGCCTGACATGCAGCCTGGATGTTGCTCTGGATCTTGATAATCCTTAACATACTGAATCTGTAAACAGATCCTGGAGCATATTGTTAAAAATTAAAAGGAGACAAATGAACAGATTATGGTGTGAGTATTGTCTTTCGCGTCCGGTAAGAGTTAACTGCTTTACAATGCCAACCATGGAAATCTAATACCGTATGACTGCTATGGGGATTTTCTGATGATGATTATTGCCTGAAGGAGAGAAACGAAACAGATCTGTATTTACAATAAATGTGTTGAACAGTAGGAAAGTTGCAGTGAAGTCAACATTTTGTGAAGGTAAGATATTTCAAGTTAAGCTACATAACCTTGGTCACTCTGTATTGTATCCAAAGACTTTATCTGCTGTTAACTAATACATGAGCAAAATTATTACAGCTGTAAGTAAAATCATTTTCTAGGCAAAATACTAGGTCTGGTTTTGATTTGGATGTGAAAAGTACTGAACTTCCTTTGCTTGGTAATAAGCGAGAAAACGTTTCTAAGTCCCTGTGTTCCGTCCCTTGACATGGCTGCGGGGCCTGTTCTTCTCAGCATTGAACATTTGGCCCTTATTTTTGGCTGGGAATCTGACTGGACCCAAACTCCACATGAGATATACTGACAGCCAGATGAAGTGAAGAGTCCGATCATTGATCAGCAAGATAAAAAAACACTGGAAAACATGTGAGAAGAATCAAGCAAGAGAAGAATAACAACCAGGCATGTGATGAGGCTCTTCATGCCTCTGGGCTGGAGGTATGGAAGCACATGTTGTATTAAACCTAACAGGGATTTCCAAGTCATTCTCGTCATAAAAAGCACTGAAAATCACCTTCACAAATAAATTATTAGGGGAACAGGGCAGATAATTTACTGTCCCCCTCAAAAATCTTCCTAATTTTATATGTGATGTCCGGTTTAGACACCATAAAATAATTTTTTCCCCCCAAAATAATAAATTTTCAAAGTACTGAAGAGGATGGAAAAGAAACTGTTTCTACTCTGGTTTGTCTTTAAGCCATTTAAATAATTAAGTCATGTGAATAATTTTACTGTTGTTCTTATCTCTTGGGTGTGAAGCCATTTCCCCATAATCAGACATGGTGTGAAATACTCACACCACATCTGACTTACACAGCCTTCTGGAAAGCTGTGCATGTATTTACTGAGCAAGTTCTTTCACATTTACCTGAACAGCTAAGCTAGGACCTTTCACTTCAACAAGGAGAGTGTTTCTTTGTTTTTTTTTCGTGATGATCCTGCTTGACTGACATGGACCAGTGTGTGCTGCATACTGGTTTGGCTTTTTGTGAGACCTTGGATCCTTTTTCATCTTTATCCATCACTCATATGTCACGCTGCCCCCCCCCCCCCCCCATAGTATTAAGTTTCTTCTTCTTTCTCCCACAAACCTGTGACGGACAGTGATTCGTCACCGTGCTAAAGGTCATGTTCATACTTCTGTGCATGTGGGAGCAAGAATGAATGTCTAATTGTAGTAATCGTCTCCTGATTGTAATGCAAACCTCGGAAGGCTTCATAACTTCACCTTTGTGTGTGCGTGTGTGCTCTTGCTGAAAGTAACCGTGTGGAAATAATCCACATTTTTAAATGCCTGTTAGCTTTAAGGCACTTTTAATTGTTTCATTATGATGAGGGACAGTCGTGCGAAGACCTGCATAGAAATAGAAATACTAGACTGCAAATCATATTGAAGGAAATGTTCAGGCAAATAAAAAAATGATGGCGATAGAGTGTTCCTGAACAATTTTAGTAGTCACTTTGAACTGGGACACAGTGGATATTATATGCATTGTAATGTGTCAGGACTTCAAAGTGCATGGAAGGAAGGAATGTCTTTGTTTCCATAATGACAGCTGTGTATGATTATATTAGTCCCATATGCAAATCACATGTAGGAAGCAAAGTGCGTGAGGGCTCTAGAATCCATTTGAATGACATCACTCTCCTGAGGCTACCTAACTTCAGGGCTTTATGAGTTGAAGCCTTTGATTGAGTTCTGAGAAGATTGCCTCTAGACAGTTCTGCTGCACCTCAAAGAATTTCTAGCTCCTAAAATGTTATCACTATGTGTTGTGATTGTGTGGGTTTCCTTTGTTCCTTTGCACTACACATTTCATTAAAGCATCAGGATACATAGCTAAGAGTTATACATATTACCCTGGCATACAGCTGGATTCCCTGATGTAGTGTTGGCTTGATGGCTTTGCTTATGGGCACAACAGCTGGTTTGTTGGAAGTTTATCTGACAGCCTTTTGGGTAAAAGTCCAGTTCTTTAACCACATTGCCTGCTGGCAATAGTCTGTAGGCATATTATGTAAAATGGGATTTAAAGCAGTGTTTCCCAATCTGGTCCTCAATTTTTGCTCCCTCCAAGATCCCTGCCATACAGTCCACATTTTTGCTCCCTCTAGCTGGAAGGGAGCAAAAATGTGGACTGTCTGTGGGTCCCTGAGCCCTGGATTGAGAAGCACTATTACAAAGGGATCAGTGACATTCTGGCCGAGTGACCAGCTGTGGAGGATCTCTGTGAAATCAGGGTCCCCGTGATTTGGCCAACATGTGTACAGGACTTAACTGAACCCAGTGCTGGAGTGTGACCCTGTGACTCACTATTCCTGCTCGATGCAGCATTTGGCTCCTGATCAGGCTCTTAAACACGGCTGTTAAATATTTTGTTTTCCTATCCTATGCTCCAGTTTCTTCATCACAGGCTCACAACTTATTTATCCAGTAACTTTTCTCCAGCACAAACCAGAAATATTCAACTTGCTTTGATGAATTTATATTTATGAAATGTCTTGGGGAAAAAAATCATATATCTTCCATCAAGGCGTCTGGTTCAGCACTGTTGGAACCTTTTTATTCCTTAGATCCCATATTTTCTGAAAAAGGAGGAGAAGATGAGAGACCAAGGACAGAGAGAAGGAGAAGAGAAACGGTGAGAGAATGATAACAGAGAGACACTTTAAAGCTGTACAGCAGTAAAGGGTATGGAGTTCCCAGACTTAAGATGCATTAGTAGGTTGCTGAAGTGAGGGACTATTAGCTCATTAGGTCTGTCCCACAAAGTTCTACAAACATCACATAACCTTTACATTTATTTCACAGATGCATTTGTCCAAAATGATGTACAAGTGAAGGAAATAGCACATTAGTAACATTCCTGCTGTCAAGGGAGTCAATTAGGCATAAGTGCAATTATGTTGAGCTTTCAGTGAATGTACAGGTACAAGTCTGAGCAGAATTGGACCAAGAACATATTCCAAACAAAGCAAGAACCTATTAAGACTACAATTCAATCAGCATTATAAATCCTTTGCTACACAATTCTGTAGGCATTTCCTTAGGTACTTTTAAAGGAAAGGGCCCCTCCCCATTTGGGCACAAGTCCTGACATGCCTCAAACCCTTAACCCTTCATTCCTTCCATTCAGAAGCCAGAGGACTTAACGTTTTCCCTGTTTCACACCTGCATTAAATGAAGGGTGCCACTAGCTAAAATGTTGCCCCTACAACAGTGTGTTATACATAAGTATAACTGAGTATGGGTGAGTATTACTGAGTTTTAAAGTCAGGGTACTGTTAATTTACATTGATGGTAAAATTGGAGACAAAGTCAGCTGCTGCTGCAAATTCTCTCAAATACTTGTTTTTGAACGCACAATGAAATTACCATTGGGAAATGTTTGGCCAGCCAGCATTTAATTGTAGCCAGGCAGCTCTTTTAAGTACAAAGAATTATTGTTTCCTATAATTGCTTATGCCTGGCAGCTTTGTAAATACTATTTAAAAATGGGGGTAATGTACATGTTTTCATTGGGTGACAGGGAGAGGTAGCCCCTGTCCTATCAGCTCTGTGTGAAGTTACGTTATGACCTTGCGTATATTCAAATGTTTTATTTGGTCATCCCTGTTTATGATTGGACGTGTTAAGAATGAACAGGATAGTAATGACAGTCGGAGTCTAACCGCAAAACATCATTTTTTCATCCCAAGAGGAAGTCTGCCACACATGATAAAACATTCAGCAAACGTATAAGATGGCTTTTCTTCTTGTGTCTGTGGATCAGTAGATGAACATAGGGGCAATTACTTCTCTGCTCCATTTCAGCTGCCTTAGACTGATAACGTAAACAGCAAAGAACACTTTTCCCAATGGACAGTGAAAGGCCGACAGTATGTACCATAAAGAAAAGCTTGGGAGGGACTGATGGTATTCCCGGACCCTTTATTCCCAGATCCTACAATTTTAGGCAGGAGAATAATACCATTGGTTTGGTAGGAACTCTACTCTTTGTTTCATTCCTCCCTGGAAGCTCTGTGTCTTCTAGCACCTTTAGGTGCTTCTGTGGTGATAAAGATTAGATTCTGATTTGCAGTGCTGTCAATGGATCTCTGGGCGTGGCTAAAGGTGCTCTTTTGCAACCCTCTCTCTTTCATTCACTCCACTCTCCAGGATGTTTCTGGTGTACTGAGACTTCAATGAATTTTCGGTACATAGTTGCTGCCGTTCCAGTGCTGGACATGGATGCTTGACCAGAGCGGAAAAAGTGAGATGTTGATTCAAATAAGTGGGACATCAGTGGGAATATGCAGCCAAAAGTAACACATTCACATCTCAGTAGAAAATCATACATTGCAGTTGTCAGAGAGGTGTTATGAAATGATATCCATTGCTTGTTTGTTTGCTTTTTTTAAGCACAAACTTGTGTCCTTATCCATATCAGATAAGTGGCTTCAGCTCTCTTGGTTCCAAATGACTCCTCCTTAGGGGAGCGAGTGGGCAGATCTTACCACTGATTCAGATTGTGGACACACCCGGTATGATGATAGCTCAGTCCTGAGAACACAGACCTCGTGATAATGTACTTCTGCTTTCAGTGTTGACTGAGATTCAAAAGACTTTTAAGTCAATCTTCGTACCAAGACTTCTGACACAGTCATGTAGGCAGTTTTACTTCTCAATCAGATGCAGCCTGTATTTTCAGCTCTTCTCCCATTTCAAGATTCAAGATTTTTTATTTGCTTTCTGTACTTCAGAACTTATGAATTCTTTGTCTGTGCATTCAGTAATATGTAACATGTAACAGAATCAGCAGGGCTGCCAGCTCTCACGCATCTGGTGTGACACATTTTCAGACTCTCATGGTCATGCAAGAAATCTTACGGCAAATCTATATTATTCCATTACAAACCTAAAATGAGCTGCATCAAAAGCTTTGGGGTATTTCGCAAACCCAACGGACTATTTACAAAGTAACAGAACAGTTACATGCATGTAAATACGTGTGCATGTGTGTGCAGACTTGTCTTGAATTGATCATCTCACGCCAACCAGCTGAACGAAGTAGGTAACCCTGAATTAGAAAGCAAAATAGCACAAAAAGGCACTCACAAAACAAGAAAGATATAAGTAGGAACTGCCGAGATACAATAAATAATGAATAAATATGAAATAAAAAGACCAGCTGAAACAGAAAATATGGCTGAGTAAAGTACAACCTGCAGTATTGCTCTGCCCAGTAAAGTATACTGCCGATTTATGAAGCTACAGTATTATTACTCTGGATTGTATCTGGCTCCACCCTCCCACTTCCTGTGAGACCCCTCTTGCAGGGGATCAAAAAGATCACGCTCGGCACAGCCTGCTCTAGATATGTGCCACATGGCCAGATTTCTCCTCTGACCTCATTGCTCAGACGTGCTTGGAGATTTCAGCTAGAGCTCTTGTACAATAAAAATCCACCGACCAGCAGAAGTCATCGACTGCGCTGCAACCAGCTTTTAACCAACACCGGCCAACTGTGGAAGAGCCTCCAAGTTGCTCTCCCAGAAATGTAAACATGCCGCTTCTGAAGAGGAAATGCCACTAAAAGGTCTCCGACTACAGATCTGGGGCTGAGGGCTCTGCACGATCTCCATGTTTGTCTGGGATTTTCCTGGGCCCTTGCTCCCTTGACTAATGTAAGTGATGTAGCTTTGCCCAAAACAGGAATACTGGTGAAAAGTGAAAATTATTCTCTGACCCCTTTCAAATGTGAGAAGCGCTCTTGTAAAAATGCCCATAATAAATGACTAATTTAACTTCAAAAGCCAAGCTAACCCTAACTCAAACACTGATTATAACATTAACACTAACCCTAACACTACCCCTAACTCTAACTCCAACTCTAACACTAACTCTGACACTAACTCTAACGCTAACACTAACACTAACCCTAACTCTAAGACTAACACTAAACCTAACTCTAACACTAACTCTAATCCTAACTCTAACTCTAACACTAACTCTAACAGTAAGACCAAAGGCGCCCCATTCAGACAAACTGCTGACTCAGTGAGTGACTGTATCAGTACGTAAATACGTGCATGAGCACAAAGACCAGACTGCAGTCTAAGGAGATAAACCAGCAGCATGGTAGCTAACTTGCTCCATGCCTTTCGGCAGCCAGTTGGCCTTGGACCTTCCAGTCGTTTTTTTTCGCCATTTTTTTCACCATTTTCCTGTATTTTGCCTTTTTCCTTTATTTTGCCAAGCCTACTGCACCATATTTCCAGCCAAACCCCATCTCCCAGTTCACAGGGTTAACAGGGTATTGTAAGGGAGATAAAGTTTTTCATAATAGATATGTGGTACGAACCCTCCCCCATCTGCTCCTAATTATTACCGTTGATACTTTTCTCCCCCATTTTGAGGTGATCTGCTTTGCTGGCACAAATCTCTCTGCTGGATTCAGTGTTCTGTTTGAAACAGAGATCCCTGCACATCCCACCAGTCCTCCCACAGAAAGGCCTTTAAAGCTCAAAAGTTTCAAATGCTGACGTAGAAAATCCAGCCCCACTGACAAACAGGACGCTGGGGGTGGGGTGACTGTGTCTGACATCCAGCCTTCGTCTGAAAAGGTGACCACTTCTGGAATCTTTTCTAGAGCGTGGCAGCCGGGACAAGCTGTGAGTCTTCAGAGTGTTTTTGTGTGTGTACTGGGCTGGAGGCCTGTGTGTGTGTGTGTGTGTGGGGGGGGGGGGGGTAAGTTAAACAAAAGGACATCCTTTAAAGCTTGGCAATAACATGCAGTTTACAGACATACAGGCCCCTTGGCTCTTATTAAAATGATGATTTTTCCATCCAGGGTGCTTGTGTTGAATTCACTCCATTCATTCATGCTGGTAGCTGCTTTAAACAAGCTTGTACTGTCCATCTCTTCTCTTCTCTTCTCCTAAAAAGATGAGCATTCCCCAGCCATGGAAGAACTGATATAGAAGGTATGCAGTCACATGATTTTCTGTTTTCATGTGTGGTTCACACACCGCATGTATACAGCAGAGATTAAAAGTCAAGTCAAGTCTCTCTCTCTCACTTTTTCTCTTTCTTTCTCTCTCCCCCCCCCCCCCCACATCTCCTCCAAGTCTCCGCCTCTGGAATTTCACATCTTGGGAGGTGTTCACCCCTACCCGCAAGCCTGCCCCCACTACATCCCAGTATGACAGACCGGGGGGAGCATTACTGGAGGGATTCCACTGGAAGAGAGAGGCCGAGGGAACAGGAACGAGGGCAGCGCTGAGGTCCTGCTCTACGGAAACACTTCACTGCTTCTCCTCTGCTGGGAGTCCAACTCCATGTGATCCAGTTTTTTTTGTTTGTTTGTTTTCTGTTGCAGCACTTCAGACCAGAACATTCTTCACTTTTCCCTCAGTCCACAGCAAGTCATCCAGCCTAATTGGGACCAGTCCCAGATGTTCCTTTGCACCTGCATCTATTTGGGTGCTGGAGATTACAACCTTTGCTCTAATTCTGCGCCAGTTCTCCACATCTCACCCTCACAGTTCCTCACACAGCTCTCCTCTAAGGATTCTCATCTCTTGGAAACCTGAACCGTTCAGATTTTGCTGTTGAGTCATTTCGCGTCTGGCCAGCTCTGGTTGTTTTATTTTCCACGGCAGTTGCAGGAAACATCAGGATTTTGGAACTAGAGTTCTCCCTCCAGCTCTTCCAGGACCAGCCTGGGACCCCCCTGGACGGGTAGAAAAACACAGCCGGATTTAAGATGAGAGGCACTGGGATGGTGCTCTGTTGCGCCGCCCTACTGGTCATGGGCTATGTGTTGGCATTCGCTGAATCAGCTGACACTGTGGCCTCGGTGGCCCAGGTGCGACAAGGCGGGAGACATGCTGATCGGCGGAAGGAGGAGAGACAGGCTGAGATCAGAGAAGATGTCCTGATGGATGATCCAATCGCAAAAGGAGATGCTGAGAAAACCAAACCAAAAGTCAAGAAATCGCCAGAGGAAGTACTAGCAGGTAAAATAAAAATTTTTTTTTAAAAACCTGAAAACAAAGCTTTGTGAGAAATGCGTGGCCCAGGGTAACGTCTCTGTCATTCCAAAGCACTGAATTCATCACCAGGTTGTACAGCAGTAGCATTATTGTGCAGATTTCCATTTTGATTGTATACATATTGAATGTAGCTGTGGATTTTTTTAAATTTACTGTTTAAATTAATCTAGTCACTGGAGCTAGAAAAGCATAACGTTTCTTTGCAGATGAGAGTAACAGAGCTGTGGCCCCAGGCGTGAGCAGAGGTCTCGCTCTCTCTGTATGAGGGGAAAAAAAAGTACTGCTCACTGCACACTGGCTCAGACACCCACAGCCATCCGCATGAGGCTAAGCCTTTGATTTACAGGGCGTTTTGGAAGTACACCATGCGATTTTGGTGTTTTTCTCTTTTACAGAGGTAGGTTCATTAGTGGGATGTTTTTATCGGGATGGAAAAATGACCTGACAGCAGGGCAGCATTTGTTTATGGTGGTTTTTAAATGATTTGTTGACGTTTGAATACCTCCGTGAGGATGGTGGTCCACGTCTTGCCTGTTATTTTTGAAATGCTTTTTTGTGGTTTTGTTAGCAAACCCCCACTGCACAGTTTACCATCAGGTCACACCACCAATAAACTGCTTATAAGACAAAATTAAACTAGCATCGTACAAAAATGTTCTACTAATTTGCTCAGCTAACAAAGAGTAGGCTTGGATGGAGTAGAGCTCGCTTTTCTGTAAGCTGATCGCCTCTGTCAGAACTTACTGATAGCAAAAGAAAAGGCTGAATCAGCAGTCTCATGGCAGAGGAGAAAGAAAAATATAATATCCTTCTGAAGGAAGTTTGCCAAGATGGCCAAGTGTGATCTGCAGAATGACTGACTGTGTGCAACTTGATTAATATAAATGCCGTGTTAGTTTTACTGGTTTGATTTATAAAGACTTACAGACTTGGTGCATAGAGAAGAAAGTTCTTAGTGAGGACTGGTGTTATAAGTCCTGGCCAAACTGAGTCATTATGTGGGATTATTTACACTAGTAGGATTTGAAGAAGGTGCCTTGTGTCCCAGCGCCAGTTAAGGCCACCTTCTGTGGCGATTAATGGACAGTCTGGCAAACCCGTGCTGGAACCTCTCTCCATGTTCTAGTCACCCCATCCTGGACCATCCACACAGCCAGACGCAAACGTCGCCAGCGTTCCTGGAATCAAGACTGTAACGTCCCCAACATAACCCATCATGACTAGCCAAAAGCTTTCATGGTGATCTGTTTAGTCTGAAATCTGTGCCAGCTATGGAATTTTCTATCCAAAAAAGAGTTTGGAACCCTGAAGCAAGTATTTCTTGGAATACCTGAGCTTGTATTTCAAAGGTACATTTGGATGCTTCTTGCAATGAGGGTCTACACTATATGTTTTGCAGATTTACTAGGCTGAAAGTTAAAGAGCAGACCTTGTTCAAGTAATGGAAAAAAATGGCAGAAGGACAAGGAAATGGAGTTAATGGTTGACAGACTTGGGCCTCTCTTTGGCCTTTTGGGGTTATGTCTCTGCACTCTGCCCAGGTCCACTTACAGCAAAAAACACAACGGAATCATTTGAGTGCAGGAAAGACTGCTCCCCGATGACAGGATGTGCTCGGCGAGCCGTGCCAAGCTCGTGGTTTTATTGGAGCAAGTGTGAATTTGAATGAAGAACCCAAGTCCCAGTGAAGCAGGGCAGTAAAAGATCTCGCAGCCTGCAAGGCCCTCAGAAACCCAGAACCCATGTCTGTCCTCATCTCATGCATGATCCCATGATTTTGTACTGTAGAACCCAATGCAGGACAACATAGTGGCACTACCCTACTCCAGAAGATTCAACTATGTATTGCCTGTCACCCTCAGAAAACATCTCCCTGTCCATGAAGCTTGAGCAGCAGTTAATGCAGACGTCACTTTTGAAATGGGTGCCAGAGTTTTCAGGCATCTTAAAGCCATGATGCCCCAAGCTTTGAATATTAATCAGAGCACCGTAGCTTTTAATCAGAAAACTACAGAGCTGTTACTCCCACCGCAGAGAGGTAAGCAGGAGTATTTGAGTGATTAATGTGTCTGTTTTTTTTCCTTCCAACTCTTTCCAGCTAAGGCCAAGAAAGAAGAAGAAAGGGAGGCAAAAGCTAAGAAGCTGAAAGCCCCCAAGCCCACCAAGAAGCCAAAGCCCCCCAGGCCCACCAAGAAGCCAAAGCCCCCCAAGCCCACCAAGAAGCCAAAGCCCCCCAAGCCCACCAAGAAGCCGAAACCCACCAAGAAACCGACAGCCAGCAAGGAGCCCAAAGAGACAGAGGAACGACTGACCAAGAAGACAGACCTAGAGGAGAAGGAAGAGGAGCAGAAGAGCCATCCAACTAGCAAGGGTACGTATGCCCCCCTACCCACTGCGGGGCCATACCAGCCCTAAAGCCGGCTCAGTTCTGTTTGGGAGATATCCTGAGATTGATTTCATAGTACTCAGAATGTGGTTAACAGTCTGAAGCACAGCGGCATCTTACATGGCTTACTGGTTAGACTGGGATGCAGATTTAACCTCAACCTGTCAGTTCATATGATATAAGTACATATACTTGAGATTTTAACTTTCCAGATATATTAGTTCAATTTGTAACTACTAGCATCAACTCACTAAGTGAATGAATCATCTAATCATCATTTATGCTTGATCAGTGAAACTCAACACAATGAGGTAGTGGAACACTGATTTTGAAAATGGTTACAGATTTAGACAGCATCATCCTGAATTTGTTGTGGATTCATGACCCCGATCACTTTTCCCCCACAGCAATCGGCACCACAGACCATAAGGGCTCACAAGAGGAGGGAACTATATGGTCTAAACACGGTGAGAAAGCAGAATTAAATATATAAGCCAGTAACTAACCATTAAGTCATGTTTTCAGCCCTGTGGTACCTTGTTTTGTTTGGGCCCAAAAGCATTGTGGTTTTAAGGAAACATGGTGACATGTCATGATGACTGGAATTTTCTTATTTTTTGGTGTTTGTGAAACCAGGGGCACCTACAGCACCAAGCACTGTGACCAAGAGCTTAAATAAATTCGAGGATCGAGACTGGGATCCCAAACGTAAGTAGGAACCATGACTAAGCTATTTAATTCCCTTGTTTAGCTCTTCTGAAAGTGTGTGTGTTGCTTGAGTTATTCTCTGTGCGTCTGTAACAGTGGCATTCAGCCAAGCTTGAGTCTGCTTACTTAATGTCTTCTGGCATTGAGTTTATTGTCAGCGATCCATGTGCTCTTGATGAGATGCTCCGGTCTTAACTTTACATCTGGATCCTTTTGATATTGACTTCTCCTCTATGAATACGCGTCCTATTCGTTCCCCGACAGATGGCGAGATAGAGATCTTCCCCGATGCCAAGGAGGTCCTTCCGACAGAGGAGTGGCACCCATTTATCCCAGGTAACTGCATTATCGGGTGAGGGCTCTGATGACATCAGCACATGAAACTCTGTGATTCGTCGTTTGTTAATGTCTCAGTCAGTGCTTATGGGTCTAGGATGCAATTCTTCAACGGCTTGTTTCAAGGGCAGTAGCAAGGGTATTTTTCAAAGTCCCGTTTTTCTCTAGTCACCTGTGAACAATCAAAGACGGATCTGTCTAAATTACAAACTAATAGCCCAGGAACTTGCGAGTACAGAAAGGACCCTTCTAATGAAGACAGGCTTACTACTGTACAGGTCTACATCAAACAATGCGACAGCCATGTCTGATAGTAACTTCAGATTCCAGACAAGGTGACAATATTGGACGTAACTTATATGTATAATACCTGAAGATAAAGCTTTAGTTGCCTCCATAAAATCCATCTATCAATCTTACAGTTAGGGTCATGAAGGAACCTCTAACCTATTTCAGGCAGCACTGGGCACAAAGCAGAAGTGCACCCTGGATAAGATCATATATTTTAATCTTAGTATTTTGACTGATTTTTTTTACAAGGGTTCTAATGCTTTGCCTGTGGTTTTTCTGCATTAGAGGAGACCTCCCCTCCACCCTTCGAGATTGAATGGTACGAAGAGTACGACTATGAGCTGAATGGTGTGTGACGCGGCCATTTTCTCATATGTGTAATGTACCCAGGGCATTGCAGCTGGATATATCACTACAGAGTGGGCTATACATGACTATGCTGCTCCAGTGGATCCGAAGACCATGGCACTATGGATGTATAGTAAACTTGTTACCATGACAATATAGCTATGACATCATTTTCAGGTTATACCTGGTGGAATGGGACAGGTAGCTATCCTACATTCGTAATGACAATGAACATTTGTGGTAGGGTGTCTGTCCTCTTCTTAGGTTAAACATTAGTGCTGATTGCTTTGAGGGTGCTGCACTACACCATAGCAAACGTCTCTGATTCCTGATATATTCTGTGCCCATAGCAGGACAGAAGAAGCTTGAGGAGGAACGAGAGAAGGCGCGAAAAGAGAAAGAGGAGAAAGGTAAATATAATCAGCCAGCGATGCTTAAGCTAACTAGCTTCACCTTAAATTCAGGGGCCATTTTCAAGCTGGATTGTCGTGCAAGGTTTTCTCACAAACCGACCAGTGATCCAGGCAATATGTGAGAAAAATGTTTGTGCAATTTGACAGTTTCCTGGAATTTGTGTATAATCTGGATCCAAGAGTTTCTAGTCAAGCTGGTTATACATTATGGGGCAGTAAGAGTTGGGCTTTGATGTAGAACAGCAATAACATTGTAAATAAGCAGGCATTATTACTGTACTGGTAAAGATAGTGGAGAAGGTCAGAGGTCAGGATTGGAATGTAGGCGGGTAGACGGGCTGCTGCCCTGGTGCATTAGGGAGGGAGAGAGATGAAGAGCGAAGGACAGGCAACGGGAGAGAAGCAGAAGCATGTGTGCCACTGCGGGGGGGGGACGGGTCTTCATAAAATCAGCAGCTGGCGCCGCGTGTTGCCTCCTCTACAGAGGGGGCAGTTTTAGGGTTTGTTGGAGTAAAATCGCGGGCTCAGAAAATGAAATATCCCAAGTCTTCAGTGAGGAAGAGGAGAGGAGCCCATAATGGACTTTCCACTCTTCCTCTCCCTGTCCCTCTCTATTCTGGAGCTCCAGTTAGACAGGAAATGATGCGAATAGCACACTGCGGAAATCGTGGTGTTTTGTTTACAGCACCTCTGGCAGAAGTTCCCGAATCTCGTTGTCTCTCCAGTCAGCCATTCTCATTGGGGTCTTCTTTGTGTAAATGGCCCTTCTTCTTCGCCATTGGATGTTCTTCTGCTTTCGTGCCAGCTGCATGACAGAAACGTCATCAACACGCCCACTCGTTTGTTCTCTGGACGACTTCCTGCTCCATTCACACATGTGGGTCAATCTGAAATTACCCCGACTTCCTACTAGGGACCTAGCAGGGTGACGTCTGTTTAATGTCCGCTACAACTGAAGTTCAGGGTGTCAGTGGATGTCTGAATGGGTCGACACACACCGAAATGGTGAAGTTTTGACTCACTGTTCGCTCTGTTGATTTATGCCACAGAAAAACAGAGGAAGAAATGGGAGGAGGAAGAGGAAGCCTATGTGAAGCCACCACCCGTTTACGCCGGACCAAAGAGTAAGAGGGCATCACCCCTCCACCCCTAACAGCCCCACACAAATCCCTCCACCAGTAGCTGGTACTACAAGGATGTCCAGTCCTGCACAGCTCAGGTTCTGTAGGTCCTCAGTGTCCCAGCATTCAGTGATTCATAAAGGGCTTGGTGAAACATGATAGGCTTAACTGGTATAGCCATTATCTGAATGACTGCAACGCTGATTTTCCTTATTTTCCAAATAGGATTTTATTTTTCATGCAACAGGAGAGTAATGTGACTTTCTTAATGTATCATGACTTTAACTGATCAACCCAATTGTTAATCTGCCGATACAGCTGAATGGACACTGGATTCAGATACTTTTGTTTGCACTGCGAAACTGCTTTAAACCACTTAAAATGATAAACTGTGTCGGCAAAGATCACTTTAATGCCAGCAAGTAGTAACATGTTTCATACACTAAAACTCCTGGAGATGTTGGATGCTGAGAAGGTATAACATGGCCCTCAGTGTGAATCAACTCACTGCTCATTCCTCACAGTTGTGACACAGACCATTTGGGGAGGCGGGGGGGGTAATTTCGGACGTGGCTTTTAATGTGAAACAGAGCCGTCTGTGCAACTCGACCAGACGTTTCCGATGCCCAGCGACGGGGAAGAGCCTCCTGCCAGACCCCACGTGCCTGCAGCCCAAACTAATGTGCATGGAAAAACACAGGCGGCACAGGCTGGGCTGACTGAGCCTCAGCGTTAGGCCAAGCCCTTGTCCACCTCTCAGAAAAACATATACTCCTTGTGAGCTGTGTGGATCGCAGGCTGTGCGCTGCTTGTAAGCTGTGGGAATCGCAGGCTGTGCGCTGCTTGTGAGCTGTGGGAATCGCAGGCTGTGCGCTGCTTGTGAGCTGTGAGGATCGCAGGCTGTGC